ACATAACATAATAAAAAATATATGTATATTTTAAACATATAAATATATATAAAGCTCCCCTCCTCTGCCTAGAGTTGTGATGGTAGAAGATGGGTGACTTCTCTCTTTTGCTTCCAGCCCTCACATCCCCTCCCTTCACTGGCTACCTGAGTTGTCTGGTGCCTCTAAAATCACAGAGGTAGAAGGTAGGAGAAGAGTCTGGAAAAGCCTGCCCTGAGTGATCCCAGTGCAATTGGTGATAGTTTCTTCCAGGCCTGGTGGGTGAGGAAAGCTGACCTTTTTCCTCAGTGGTACTCTTCATGGGTTCTTTGGAGACCTCATTAGAATCCTTGGACTGTGCTTTTTATAATACAGGCAAGGATGTTTTCCTTGAGCTGGCCACACACTTTTCTTCCCATACCCCTTGAGAATCCAGCAGTCTCCTCCTCCAGTGAGGTTCTCCAAATACTCTTCTAGCAGAGGATATAAGTCACCACCAATGTCCTCAGGGTAGCCCACTAAGCAAGACACAGAAGCATCCTTGCCCCACCATTGGTATTCATGGACCCAACTCTCAGTGCAACTTTATCCCCACCCCACCCCTACTCTGTCATCTTGAGCCACAGCTTTAGATTCCTTCAACTTCTGTCTGACATTGGACAACTGTGACATGCATGAGGCCTTTCAAGTATTCTTTATTAATCTTCTATCCTGAGGTTTGGAGAAAAATCACTCCTCTGTCACAGCTGGAGATTCCTCTCCCCAGTCAAATTCTCTTGCTTATTTGCAACCTTCTAAGGCACTTCATCTTCAATACTTTAATAGCCAGAATGCAGGGTGTCAATAGCCTGAATCCACCTTTACTCATATTTTGTTGCCCTCTTCTCATAACTGAAATAGAGTCCCATTTTAATATCCTTTTCATGCACAATCTTATCTGTAGTACTACCATTAGAATATAACCACAGTCAATTTTCTCCTGTATTTCTTTCTAATCTCTTTTTCTGCATAGCTGAATTTTTCAAACTGATACTTCATCAGATGTGTATTTCCAGGTTTTTTAAATTAGCACTTTAGTTTAACATTTTTTTATGTTCAAAATATGATTTGGAAAAAAAAAAAGATGAAACTTCATTTACAATAACTCCAAACTGGAAACAACTCAAATATCCCTCAATAGGTTGGATTAACAGATTTTGATATATTCATAAAATGAAACATTATGCATCAGTGAAAATGAATGCACTGTAATTACATTCCACACCTTAGAAAGCAGGCACAAAAGAGTGTAATGTGCAATTCTCTTTACATAAGTTAGAGAACAGGCAAATTGTAATCAATGGAACAAAAATGGCAGCGACCTTTGGGGTGTGACACTGAGTAGGAGGCAATCTGAGGAGTCCTCTGACCTACCACAAATGTACTCTCAGTCAGGGTGGTGGTTATGGATGTATATAAAAGTTATTGAGTTTTGGATTTAAGATTGGTGCACTTCATATGTATTATAGCTCAATTTAAAAATTATAAATGATGTGTGCGAAAAATATGTTTTAATTTTTAAGGGCTCGTGTCATTTCCTCATGGCCTTTTCTTCATTTATTCCTTGTTAAATGTTTAATGTCTCTTTTTCCAGATTTTTCTATTTTAAAATGAGGAAAATAAGCCCTTTTCAATCTTTAGGTGCATATCTTATTCCATGGAAGACATTATTAGAAGTGAAATCACTGGGGCACCTGGGTGGCTCAGCTGGTTAGGTGTCTTGCCTTCAGCTCAGGTCATGATCTCCCATGGGTCCTGGGATGGAGTCCCATGTTGAGAGTTGTATTCCCTGCTCACTGGGGAGTCTTCTTCTCCCTCTCCCTCTGCCCCTCCCCACTGTCTGTGCTCTCTCTTACAGATGCGCACGCTCTCTTTCAAATGAATAAATAAAATCTTTAAAAAAAAGAAGAAGGCAAATTACTGGGTGAGACATGATGAACATTTTAAAATATCTTAATGTGTATTGCTGGATTGCTCACCAGAAAATTTGCCCCAATATGCATGCTTACTGCCAGTACATAGCTGTGCTTCTTTCGTTACCCATCAGTGGCTTTACTATCCTATCTTTATCAAAAAGGATTGACTAAAACCAGTTATCTCCTGGACTTAATTTGCACTTCTTTGATAACTAATGCTGTAAACGTCTGCTGAATGAATATGAAATGTGAACATGAATGTGAAAGTATTTTCTTTACTGTGACCCTTTGTCACTCAGGGAGCAGAGTGTAGCCAGGCTTAGGCCATCGTTCTGTTCTCATGAGATGACTTATACACATCTTGATAAGAGAAAGAGAGGGAGAGTGTAATCTGTTCTCAGACTGCATCTTGTCATAAAAATTTGAGTCTGTGCAACTTCATATTTTTGCTTGGAGGACTGAGGAAATGTACCTCCAGTGCCTCAAAAGGGAAAGAAAAGTTGTAATTGATGATATCACTAAATGGCTGTTTGGCCTTTAAAGAGGTGGGGAGGCTGTAACCACAGTCCCACATAAGATGGGGGAATAAATCCCCAGTTCCTCTAGAACGTTTAATAGGGTTGCTAGAAAAGGTTACCATCAACAGAGGGCTGAGAAATCAATTCAGGTGACACTTTATTTTAACTTAATATTGTATTGGGGAGAAAATCAAATGACTTTGTTGAAAAACCCTTCAAACTGATGTCTATCTCAAAGTTGTGACACTTTCACTTGTTGCCCTATAAAAAGACTAAATTAATGTGGGGCCTGGCAAGAAGAAACGCTCTCTAATATTTAGACAAAAATAACAATTCCTAAACCAGCTATTCTCACAAATAAATTCTTCCTAAAAACTTTAGAATCATTTAAGTTTAAAAAAGTCATTCAAATATAAATTGTAATAGTGTTACAATATTAATTTAAGAATTTATACCTTTACAATTATGACTCCTTCCATCTAGCTAAAAGGTACCCCAATGTTCTTTTATATCTTTCTTAAGCTTTTGTAATTTTCTTCATATAGGAACTTTTAATTGGTTCATAATTAGTTAATGGGTTTGGGGTGCTATTGTAAATGGAATTTTTTTTCCCACTATGTCTGCTTACCAGTTGTTGCTGGTATAGAGAAGTATTGATTTTTGTGCATTTCTCTTGATTCAGGTGGTTTTGAACTATCATTAATTTAGAATCTTTCAGTTACTTCACTAGCATTTTCCAAGATAATTTTAGGTGTATTGACACTGACAGCAGGTCATTTCATTGCTATAAGATGACTTGGCCTCACTCTATTCTGAGCCATTCCATGCTCATTTTTACAACAGTCTTATTACCAAGTTGGTTGGCCCTTGCTATGCCCACCCCCACATTCAATACACACGTGTACATACACGTACACAGAATCATGCCAAAACAATACCTAAAAGATCCATAATATGACGGTGTCAGGAACATTCTTCATCCCTATAGGGGCCAGCTTTAGGGTTAAGCTTGATCTAGTAGCCCAGCACTGTCGCCAAGAGCCTGGTTTCTCCATCTCTATACTCTGCCAGCGTCTGTTTTACCCCAGTCCGCCCCTGACCCACCCTGAGACATCCACTCCATCCTCCAAGAGCTCTAAGTTTTATTCCTGTGGAAGCCAAAGCCAAAAGCGAATCAAAACAGAATAAATAGAAACAAATAGCAACAATAAAAGTCAAAAGTCACAGTGTCAGTTCTGGACCTTACTTCCTTACACTGTCCAAAGAAGAGAGAAAGAGAAGAAGCTTCTTTCTTTCTTGTAGACATTTCTCCTAAGTGCCTTCCCCAGCAACATCTCACATTGAATTCTGTCCACTGGTATGACATGACTATCCTTGATCCAGTTAATCAACTGAAGGAAAGAGACACACTGATAGATTCAAGACAGTCAGGACCCATTGCTGGAGACAGCAATGAGGTCAAAACCACACCCTCGATGGCTGAGAATGAGGGGTGGTGACCAAAAGAAATTTCAGAGGGGGCAGTGAAAGCTAGGCAGCAGACAACAGATATTCACTCAGATAGCAGGTGGTAGCTATAGTTTTGTTTAGTTCCTATACCCTAAAATCTCTACTTACACAGTCCATGTTGCCTTAAGACAGAGTACCTTGCAAGAATTTAAGTCCCCAAATTAGTGCTCCATGGCCCCATTTCCTATCTCCCCTCTTTCAAGGAACTGAAGACAGAAAGTTTCCTAACAACAGGGCCTTAGAATTTCCTCCACATCAAAGCCTCAAAGCATTATCCTTACTATGCGAAGGTTCTCAAAGAATCGCCTCAATGCAAGGCCATTCTCTACTACTGAACATCCAACTCCCAAATAGAATCACCCTTTCCCCAACTCCCATGGGAATACCTCTCATTATAAAGAATAAATTTACTTTTAAATAAGAGTGCCGGCTTGTTCATACTCATACTCAGTTTCTACCTTTGCCCTGAAGATGCCACCAATTCCTTCCAGACACTACTGTTCCCTCTGTAACACAGAACCCCACTCCTCTGACTCCTGCATCTTTCTTGTGGATATAATCCCTTCCCACCAGTTTGTGCAGCTGACTCTGAACAGACCTTATCTCAGGATCCTTATCTGAACTGTCCGTGTTTCCTCCACAGTGCTCTTGACAATGCTATAAACATTCTAGGCACCCAATAAATATTTTTAAGGACTTGAGAATTTTATTCCCTTGGAAGAATGATATGCCCTGTGAAGAGGAACAAAGCAAGCTGAGACCGTATCATATATATTTCCACAGACTATATCCTGTATTAGTCATTTCTTAGATTTTAATATGCCAACTTCATAAAACACATATCTCTTTAAATATAGTATTTTCCTAACATTACTGATAAAGGGAAAAAAAATATCCTTAGGTCATTAAAACTCAGTGCAACATTATTAACAACAGGATGTGCAGATAGAAGTCTTAAATTACATTCAAGAAACAGAATCTCGTGGAATTTAAAGGGCATGGGAGTGTCCGGGCTGTTGCTGATGCTGAGAGAGTAGATCCTAAGAGAGGACTGTGGCACAAGGAGTCATGCAGATGAGAAGACAAACATGCCAGAATGGGGTGGTGGTAAGACAAGAATCCTGGTTAAAAACTTTTCTTCTTTTAAATAAGCAAAGTTGGCTGCTTATTTTAAGGTGTTTTTTGCATCCTAAAGCCTCAGTGAACTACCTGAAGATTGATCTCAGTCTCCCATTCAGGAGTCTTTGGAGCAGCCTCAGAAAGGTAGTACCTCTTTACCAGTGCCTCTGAGTCTGATATTTACCTAAAATTGCCCTTTGTCACCTAGTCACCCCAATGCCTCACACTACTTCCTTCTGTAACCCTTAACAAACAATGGCTTCAACCCTTCTTCCCAGTTCCATTCCCAACTTTTCTTCAAGCTGCATATGACCAGTTCATTACAAGAAATGAAGCTTTGGGCGCCTGGGTGGCTCAGATGGTTAAGCGTCTGCCTTCGGCTCAGGTCATGATCCTGGAGTCCTGGGATCGAGTCCCGCATCGGGCTCCCTG